AGCGAAAACGATACCCATTTTGGAGAGCTTGATATCAAGCAGGTGTGATATCAAATTTTCACTTGAGATTTAGTGAATGTTAGCTTAAGTAGCAGTTCGATTTTTTATCAGATTTCAAATTCTCGATCACGGTTCAAAGTTCCAAACAATGACTCATTTAGTATATTTATCTGTTCGGTTGAGTCACAATGAGTACACATTTGATTACCGACAGACACAATGTACAAAGGACAATTTGTCAAATGCGCGTGGGACATTTATTTACTTTTACTTACAAAGCAAAGCAAAAATACTGCAAACAAAGTGTAGGTAGGTTTTTTACACAGACAGCTGTTTTCGCTTCAAAGTTACACGACCTTGGCTAATATCATAGTATGTACTCGATTCGATGCCAACTCATTGGAGAGGAGAACGAACGTTCATTATCACTTTGTTATACAAATCTTGGTACAAAAGTCACAGTTGTGAGGAATTCTGTTGACATCCATGATAAGCTACCGAAACCGGTTAGGAGATAAACCACCAGAACCAAATAAATTTTTGGTTATATTTTGATTATTAATAATCCAAGACTATACTAGTAGTGTATGGCCTTAAGGCAAATTGCTGGAACTTCCCGTACCGTAATGAAATATTCGAGACATTTTTTTAAACGTTTTCAAATATATTATTACAAATGGTGTAACTTTCATTATTTTTGCTATCTTGTTATATCTGAGTGAGTAAATCAAATGTAAATCATAAATCAATTTATCTCCGGAACATTAACAATCGTCATTTCATTTCGAATTCAATTTCAAAAAAATAGTTGCCTGATTTACACAAAATTGAAAAAGTGCTCCTGTATAGTCACAGTCTAATGTGCATTTGCAAATAATTCTGTGCGACATTTTCACTTATACTGTGCTTAGCTTGGCGGCATTTTCACATTTTTCATTAGTTATCACAAAATTGGAAAATCGCTCCAATACATAAACAGTCTAAACGCACTTCGGTAAACATTTGTACCAGAGTGGCGCTTAGACTGTGCTTAGCCTGGGTAATTTTTTGAATTTTTAATCCAAAATTACAAAAATATTTATAGAAAATAAAAAAAGATGTAATAATTTTTTATCCTCAAAAGGAATTGTTTTGTCAGTACAAGCAGAAAGTTTATTTGAGTCATTCAAACCGGACGCTTAGTTCTCTCAAAAACTGCCATTTTTGCACATTTAGCTCTGTATCTCTAAAACGGCAGGACCTGCCTTTGCCAAAAACTAATCACCTCTTCTCCTAATCATTACAAATTGAATGTTTTTCAGATCATTCAAATCCGATACTTCGTTTTCTTAAAAACTCGATTTGTATTTTATGCACTCTTTGCTCCGTATTTCCGTAACGGCTGGAGCTGCCTTTGCCAAAAACTAATCAGCACATCTCTCTATCAATAGGAATCGAATGTTTTCTGAATCATTCAAATCTATTCATCCGTGCGCCCGAAAACATGGACGAAAAATTGTATCCATTATTTGGTTAGGAGTGCGGATTATCTTAATGTTAATATTAAATGATAAAACTTTCAGAGAATTGTTTTTTATCAATTTGGAATTATTTGAGTCCCTGGGAGCTAGAAATTCGAAAACATCCCCTTATACATATATATGTGTGTATGTGTGTGTGCGTGTATACGATGTAAAAAGTTAATTCATATTAATACTAATTATTCATTTCGCATTACGTAAACAAATTAATTAGCAATTCATGATAATTGATATAAGTACAGTACGTTTTACGATTAAAATTTGCATGTTATGAATAAATGCAATATTGAATTATAAATTATTTAATTTAATTTTAGGAAGGTTTATTACACCATTTTATCTCATAAACTGTGTGTAAGTGGCATTTTGCATTGAGGCAAATAGCTGCAACTTTCCGCATCAAAAACTAAATTTTGAAAAAAAACTCTGAAGAAATTAGATTTTTGAAAAATTTTGAAATAAATTGACTGTTTTGTAAAATTTGATTTTTTTATAATTTGATTATTTTGTATTTTCATTTTTTAAATTTTGAACAATTTTTTAAGCAATTGTACTTCATAGCTGATTTGGAGTTGAAATATCAAAGCGCATAAGCGCCGCGTAGACGTCTAAGGTAAAACATTGGTACGGAACCCACATAAATGTACATAAAATTTGTTCTTATCATTATAATCTTTATAAATTATCTGATAATACGATGTACATATGTCTAATGTTCATTTTTAACTGCCAAATAGCATTATTTTCTACATTTTTTATTAGATCTCCGAAACCGCTGGAACTGCCTTCTAAAAAATTTACCAGTTGTTCATTTCGTCAATGCAAGTAAAATGTTTTTGAATTATTCAAATCGGACAGCCCGTTATCTCAAAAACTGAAATACCATTTTTGGCACTTTTTGCCCCGTATCTCCAAAACGGCTAGAACTGCCTTTGCCAAAAACTAGTCAGCTCGTCTCCTTATCAGTAGGAATCGAATGTTTTTTAAATTATTCCAATCGGTTGATCCGTGTTCGCGAAATCGTGGACGAAAATTTGTATCCACACACACATACATCAATTTTTTCTAAGGTATGCCAGAATGTTCAGAAACCTCTGAAACGTGAAGATGCAAAAAATTTCATCTTCGATTTTTTTGCGATTACTATAACTTACTTCACGATAAGTTAACTAGGTGTAAGTGGCATTTTGCCTTAAGGCAAGTTACAAATTAAAAAAAAGCGGCCCGGCTGACCAGCACGATTATAAAGTGATATCTCTCGAACGGTTTTTGAATTTTCAAAATCGGTTAAGGATTTTTTTGAAATGGTAAATGAAAATTTTGGTATTTTTCTGCTGATTGTAAAAAAAAATCGGCTTGGTCGATCGATACAAAAAACTAACAAACACTAGTACATTTCGAAATTCATGGGCTTTTAAATTTCTGAAACCAATGCAAACATTTTTGACAAAACGTCAAAGAAATGTCAAATTTTGGCTCGCACATACACATCCTTTTTCTAATTTTCATTAGTTTCATCAAACGATTCAGAATGACTTGATATAAGATTAGCATGTCGTATTTTCTGGCAAAAAGCACGAATTTTTTCAAAATTTGCAAAAATAAATGAAAACTTACATTTTCCGCCAGGACTGTCAAGGCTCCCCCGAGCCATGTATCCAGAATGATCGTCGAAAAATTCCTGTCCTGTCCCACAAGTAACGGTAGGATATCCATTTTCATAAAATCCTGAATCGTCAATAATATTTCCGTATCCATTTATGGTTTGTGAACATTTAAAAAGCATGTAAAAACAATTCTGTCAAAATTCAAAGCCGGCGGATAACTAATACAGATTATTTTGACAGATAACTAACACAGATGACAATTTGAAGAAATTATTGATAGAAATTATAAATGTTTATACTTAATTCGATTTTGTTTGAAGGCACTAGAAATTAATTGTTGTTAAAAATGCTTGTTTTTAATTACTTTTGTGTTTGAGACGTATAAATACGTCAATAACATATGACACATTATGTGCGACTAAAGAGTAAGGACTACTAGCGCTGTGTGTTTTTGTGAGCAAACATGAGCAATGATAATGAAAACAGGAATTTATGCAAAATTAATTTTATTATAATTTTAATTAACTCTGAGTATTTTGTAATAGACATTTAGTCATTTAAATGTTTAAATATAATAAAATATATGTTTAATCCTTGTTTTTAAAAAGGATATATAATGTGCAACTAACTTCATGCTCATAGATGTCACCACAACTTTTACGCGCAAAATTTAAACTGTATGAAAAGTATAAATTTTGTACAAATTTAAAATATTTTTGTCCAAACAAAATATATAGTTTATTAACTTCCCAAAGGACATTTTCACCAGGTGAAGATGTATCATTTCGCAATCGTGCTGATTAATTGCTTTAATTAATTCTGAGTATTTCAATCATTTTAATGTTTAAATATAATAAAATATATGTTTAATCCTTGTTTTGAAAAAGGATATACTATGTGAATCTAACTTCATTGTTCATAGATGCCAGCACAACTTTTACGCGCAAAATTTAAACTGCATGAAAAGGATAAATTTTATATAAATTACAAATATTTTTGTCTACATAAAGTGTATAATTTATTAACTTCCCAAAGGACATTTTCACCAGGCGAAGATATATCATTTCGCAATCGTGCTGATTAGTTTTAGAATTGAATGATTAATAAATTATTTATGGCGATTTTTAATAAAAATTTATGGCGGAAGAGTTTTTGGTTTTAATGAATATACTAAAATATTAGAGGCGTACAACAAGTGCTTTAGGTATAAAAGTTATTTCAAGTTTAGATTAATCAGGTGCCCTTTGAAAAATTGTTTAAAAATTATTCAAAACATTTGTTTGAATAATTTGTACAAAATAACCTACAATATCTTGCACATTATAATGCTCTGCAGTAACTAACTATACTTATAAATCACTCATAAATTAATATTATGGTTCATGCAACTTGATTTGAAACAAAATGATGCTAATATTTAGTTCAGTGAATTATTTTCACAACAGTTTGAAATTTGAATCAAAATAGCAATTTGCTGTAAGTTAGAACATTATTTTGGATACACAAAAATAATTATATCAGAGCTGCATTTCATATACTGCTATGTGTTCAAATTATGCTTGCATATTTTATCACTAAATTGTTTTTAAAATGCCCACTTATCACATTCATACTTTACAGATTGTAATACAAAAAATAAAAGAATCTAACTTAACCTAAAATTTACTAAAGTTTCCTTTATCTTGTACAAATGTTATATATTTGAATAAAAAAAATGACAACAATAATAATAATGCTTAACAGACGAGAATAATTCATTCATTCTTATACACTAAAAAATGTAGTACACAAAAAGTTTACATGAAATCGATTTAAACTAATTAAAAGTTTATCTTATGAATATATATCAGCATTACTGCATGGCTGCTTACTTAATCGACATATTTTTAGTGTACATTTCTTAATTCTACTTCGAATACCAATGTGCTGTTTGGTGGAATTACTGGTGGGCTGCCCTTTGTGCCATAACTAGAGAAAAAAATATATAATATATAAATAAATTATATAATATAAGAAATTTATAAGGTTGTCAAATATCTCCCTTCTGCCTTTTTGTATTATAAACCAAGAGCAAAAAAGCGGAAGGGAGATATTTGACAACCTAATATATGCTTTGAAATCTTGTATTTTTAAGTTTGGATTATTATACTTACGCCATGTGGTGTGGGATTGTCAAGCGTCTTTTGCCTCCAACTTTCATGCCGACTACACCAACATCCCAACCTTTGATGACTTCTCCCTTGCCCAAAGCGAATTTGAATCCTGGTCCATTTTGTGCACTGTCGAAAACTTTGTTGTTTTGTTTCAACCTACCGATGTAATATACCTAGAAAAAAAAAATTAAATTATAAAATAATAGATGAAAAATTAAGGAAAGTTAATAAGAATAGTTACAAAAAACTTCAATAAGTTGAACAGCAAATTTAAGAGAAAAACTAAGTAAAAACAGTGTAATTAAAAAAATTACACAATTGTAAAATTTTGAAAAAATGCAGTAAGATGAAAAAAAAAAGGAAATGAAAGGAGGTAAACAAAATTAAGAAGCGACAAATTAAAGAGTCCAAGAGTAAAATTAACAAATTAAATTGGAAATCAGTAAAATTAAGAAAAACAGCAAAATTTGGACAGTAGTGAAAATATAATGTAAAAATATAGAAATATAATTGAGAAATAGTGCAAAATTGAGAAAAATAGCAAAATTAAGAGATAATAAAATCAAGATAAATAGTCAAATGAAAAGAGACAAAAATAGCAAAATGAAGGGATGAAAAAAAACATTTAAGAAAATCAAAAATTTTACAACTTTTTTTGTAACTAAAAATGCATGTGATGTTTGGTGGGAGAGAGAAAATAATTTTGACTGATAAATCACCAAGGAAGGGATTCCAAAAATCCTTAAAAATTGATGATATGATTAATAAACGCCCGCTTAACATGAAAAATTTATGCAATTAAAATATCTATAACCGCAAAATGTCCTTTACTACTTACTTGAACTTTGTTTCCACTCTGTGCGACTTTTCCACTTCCAACCTTCAATTCCTCAACAATTACTCCACCGGCAAGAGTTTTCTTTTGTCCCTTTTGTTCGTTCTGTTGATTCTTTTCAGCTTTGTTTTTCTTTTTTGGGTCTGATACTCCATTCTGTTGTGGTTTCTTATTTGCTTTGGTTTTGTTGTCAGTCTTTTCTTCCTCTTCCTCCTCATCTTCATCCTCGCCCTCTTCATCATCATCGTCGTCGTCATCATCATCGTCCTCATCATTATCACCAGCTCCTTCAACATCATCATCATCGTCGTCGTCATCATCATCATCATCCAACTCATCCTCCATTAAGTCTGATGCATTAATATCCATATCACTGAAAGAAATAGAATTTTAATAAAACAGCCCTAGATGTTTACGTGGTTTTAAAATATTTTACCTGTCATTGACTACACCATCAGGCTCATAGTCCTCATCGTCTTCGCTCGAGGTATCATCTTTTGTATTGTTCAAGAGATCTTCCAAATCTGAAGATCTGGATTTTTTAGAAGTCGACGGTTGTGGTTCCATTGCTTTACGTTTGGTTTTTTTGGCAGGGACTAATTCAGGGACCTCTTCTTCCAACTCGCTTCCGGATTCATCCATAATATTGTCATATGGGTCATCCGGGGTTAAATAACCAGTTAAGTGGACGTGAGAATTTCCTAAAATAGAAGAAGACATTGAAACATCACAAAGACTAGTATTTTATTTTTTTTGCTATTATTTCCCTCCCTTACCATTGCTTGTGAAGGACATTTTAGTTCCCTGTTCAAAATTTAAATCCAAAGGAATCTGCATGACCTTTCCTTTCTGCAAAGTTCCAATAAGATAGTTTCTTTTCTCGTACGCCAACATAATTTGACAAGGCTCCCCATCGCTGCTGTTAATGTCTAATGCTGCTTGCGATACATGGAAAGATTTGTCTACTACTTGCGTGTACCGCTTGTTAGGTTCCATAATCAGTCCTGGGAAAAATAAATATTAAAGTTATATTTGAAACTTTATGATAAACTAAAAAACTAAATTAAAGATTTACCAGAAAACTGCAAGGCATGTTTTAAATGCACAATTGAAACATGATACGATTATTCATCAAATTCAAAATAAGATAAAAATGGCAGTAGGCTAAAAAGTAAATTTAAAACATAACCTTTATAAAGCTAATATGCAAGACAATGTTTAAGTGCACATTGGGGGCTCCAATGTGCCAAGATTGACAAAGTGATTATTATAATCTCATTCCAATTGTTAAAACTATTTGTAACATATTGATCAAGACAATAAAGAGTTGTTCTTAGATAAAAGAATCTACAATCCATTTTGAAAACACGTTTTTGCAAAGACAACATTAGGTTAGCTAAAATGGCGATATTATTCAAACAGCAAGTACAAATTTGCCTGTGAATAAAATTACACCTATAACACGTATTTAATTCCCTAAAACTACAGTTTTACATTAAACATGTTGCAAATTCCATTACATAGGTTATGTGCCCTCCAATCGAGCATCACAACACGTGTTTCGCGTTAATTTTAAATAATTAGAAAAGACTTACCCCAAAACATTTTGAATATTCTTTATTTAACTCGGTCACAAAACTAAAAAGTGTACAAATAATAAAGTATAATTATTTTTCTTCGCCGGTATTGCTGGCCAACGGACTTGTTGGAATGTTCAGTCTCTGTCAGCAAAGCAAACGCATGGATATTTGCTAAATGGCGCGATGTTTATAGTGTTGCCATGTGAAGTGGTAACATTCTAGAAGGAAAAATTAGATGTGGTAATACTAATTGAATAAGCGGTTAATTCAAATGGCTTTAAATTATTTAGTGATATTTGATATGCATGGATAAAATTAAGAGGGTTAAACCTCCAAACAAATATATTGTAAGACAATATTGCTATGAAATAAGCAAAACTTATAGCATTAAACAATTACACAAATTACTGTTCTTTCACTAAATAATTTAATTTAAATTAATATATCACTCAATGAGTTCAAACAAAAATGTTTAATGTTTAAAAATGATTTGACCTGAGTAATTGTTCAATTTCATTCAAATTTTAGAAAATATCTTATACAACAACCTAATTAATCTGATTGAATTTCCTAATCCAGGTTGAATTAATTTAATTATTAATTATCTTTCAGTTAATCTTGAGTTGTTCATAAATATTATTGATGTAAATAGTGCCTATTGCATTTAATTAAAGACTATCTATCTATTATCAAGATTGTTACTAAATTTGTAGCATGTACTTTGTTTAACTAATTATTAATAACACAATTTATAAGTATTATTTGGTACAAAAAATATAAAAAACCTTTATAAAATAATTCATTAAAATCCTTGCTTATATGTCGTTATTCTAAAAATATCACAATTTACATTGTTTGTGCAAAGGAGATTAAAATTGAACTTTATTCAAAAAATAAATGTGCCCTTAGCTTAACTATAAAAGGCAGAAAATAGAATTTAATGAGGCAATAAACTTCTTATGTTTAAAATGCTATTTTAGGCACATTTTGTTTGTTAAATTGTTTAACCCGTTTGTAATTATAAAAAAAACACACCATGTTTCAAAATATAAATGCTATATTTTTAAATATCAGTTACTCTTTTGATTTATGTTTACGTTTCTTCTTCTTTGATACTTTGGATAACGAATCACTATTGGTTTCTAAAGATTTATTTTTATTCTTAAACAACATCAACAATTCTTCTTCCTGAGCTTTAATTCTCGCTAATTTGCCAGTCAAATTTAATCCATGTCTTGCTCCTCTGTAAATAAATATTAATTATTTATTGTAACACATAAATATAAATACAAATACAAATATATAAATATAAACATACATATAAAAATAAATATAAATGTAATATATCATTCTTCTTACTTATGAGCAGTTCGTTTTCCGCAAGCTTTTAGTAATTCTTCATCAGTAAGTGCTACGTGTTTAATTGGTTTGGTAATGGACTCTTGTTTTGTGTCAGTTTGTTCTTCGTAGCCTTGACTGGTTAAGGTAGATGTTTTTAAGAATGATTCGTATTTAGCTTTTCTACTAGTCTTTTTTACTTCTTCTAAACATTTTTCGGCAGAGACTTTCACGTCTCCTTCTGAATTTGAAACCTATTGAAATAAGAAATATTTTTTTATGAATAATTTAAAAGACATCAATAATGAATATTTCTTTTTTAGTTGATTTAGTTTGTATAGCATTCTAATTGGTTAATTAAAGTGACTATACTATTTTTTGTGTTTATTTAAATCCATTTACATTAATATTGTTGACAGCATTGTTATATCCCTCTTCCCACCAATGGTCTGTAAATTCTTTTGCAGGATCATGACCGATTCCACATTTATCGAATTTCAAACTTGGTTTCAGAGCTGACGATATACCATCATTGTTTTTACCAAGACCTTCACCTAAAAGGGGAAAAGATATAATAATAAAATTTATTTAACATGTATTATTTATTAATTAATCTATTTTAATTACTGGAGCACAAATAATGTAAATTGTGATATTTTTATAATAATGACATATTGGCAAGGATTTTAATGAAATGTTTCATAAAAGTTTTTTAAATTTATTATTCTACTAATAATTGGATAAATATTATACTACTAATAATTGGATAAACAAAGTGCATACTACAAATTTTGTAACAGTCTCGATAATAGATAGACTTTATTTAAATGCAATAGTTACAATTTACATTGATACATATTTTATTATCAATTTGTTATAATAATATTAATGATATTTATGAACAACTCAAGAATTAACTTAATAATAATTAATAATTTAATCTGAATTAAGAAATTCAATCAGAATAAATAGGTTGTTTTATAAAATATGAATTAAATTGAACAATTACACATTTTTGTTAAAGTCATTCCTTAGAGTTATACTCAAAATTGGCATTCTAATCTTCTTAATAAAAATAATGTTATGTAAAGAGAAACATATATCTGAAAATAATATAAATTCTTACCCTCTTTCCATCCATATTTCAAAAGTTGATTCTTTGCAAAGTCCATAATGACAAAATTATATATTTGGGGGTAGAAAAAATGTAAACACAAACCTTTGAATATCTACTTATTATCTATACTATATACACATCATACAAGCTGACATTGTTTATATTTGAATTATATTTACATAATTGTAAGTAATAATTAAAAATAAATATTTGTTTTGTAAACTTTATAACCTATAAATTAAGCCACGCTGTGCGTGACCGAATCTGACTTTGACAGTTCGTCTGCTTAATTAAAAAATTTAGTGTTGCCTGATGATGTAAAACGACGTTGACAGGAATATATTTGACCGAACAATTTAAAAATTTTAGATCGGTAAAGCAGCTTCTTTGACAAACAATACAAGGATTTCCAAACTTTAATGTTAATTCTATTAATCGCAATATTTTAAACTCGAAGCTTTACTGTAAAAATGTCATTGAGAAACATTGACGTAACCTGAAGAACATTTATGTCAAAAACATTGCTCATAAAATTAATATGACAAACTAGTTAAAGAAAATAGTATTTTAATATTTCATTTTGTGTTTTAATACAAGATATAAAATAAATTGGATATCGCACATAAACTTGTTTCATTCCCTCGTTCTTCACAGTTAAACTTCCGTTATTTTAAATTATCGCAACAATTTGAATTTAAACTTTAGTATTTGTGATAATTAATAGTTCCAAAATGTCAGAACAAGATAATGTAAATTTCACACATCATTATCAAACAATTTACTTAAAAGAATCCAATGTTAATGATTTCTCAAAATGTGAAACCAAAAGAAAACTTATGACTTTAACACATGCAACATCTTTAAAACTGTAAGTCATTATAAAAATAAACATAGTTTATTACAATTGTTTTTGTTGATTTAGGTTATAAAACATTATTATTACTACCTTGAATTTTTATAATCTTTTATTTTATTATTGTTCTCAGACTGAAGCCAGAAGCAACAGCTTTGCTTCTTGAAAATGATCTCAAAGAATACTGTTCGATCGTGGACACTATGCAAGGTCCAAATGCTGTTAATAACTACGCAGGACCTTGTCTCACTTTAGCAGCAGCTTGCAAAAATAAATCAAATGCTAAGACTTGGAAAAGCTCTGCAGATTCATTAAAAGACGATGCTAAGAAAAGATTTGAGAAATTTAGGAGTTGTACCGTTACTGACAAAGATATACAAATGTTGGTAAAAGCTAAGAATTCAAAACCGACAGAATCTAAGACTAATAAAGACAATGTTGAAAATATTACTAAACTGAAACCAAATTTCCAATATACTGATAATAGTAGTGGAGACAAGTCTAAAAATATTTTTACACCAAAGCCAAATTTCCAATATACATCAAATTCTGCACCTAATAAGTTCTCTCGCCAACCATCTTTCACAAGTACCTACAATAACAATAATAAGACTTCTATCCCTGACCAACCTGATTCACCGAGTACTACCAATGCGTTTAGAACAGCCAAAAGTGAACTTATTTTGCAACAAATGAAAAAGAATCAGGGTCAAAAAACTGATAATTATGGCTACGGAAGTCTTAAAAGGTCTTTGGGCACTAGAAGAGGAGTTACTAACAAATTTGTACCACCTATAGCAAACGAGTAATGGATTTAACTTAATTATTAATAGTTTATATATGTAGTTATAATGCACTCATTTTATTTCAGCAATGATAAATCTGCTTGGAATTCTAGTCCTCCCAAAGAAGTTGGTGGTGAAATAGATCCCAGATTACAACATATTGACCCTAAAATGGTCGAGTTAATTAGAAATGAAATAATGGACACAGGGAATAAAATAGGTAATTGTAAATAATTGATTTGTTTATCATATATTTTATACTAAATTTTTTTCATTAGGTTGGGATGACATTGCCGGTCTTGATTTTGCAAAATCCAGTATTCAAGAGTCTGTAGTTTGGCCGCTGTTGAGACCTGATATCTTTACTGGTCTCAGGAGGCCTCCGAGAGGTATCTTATTGTTTGGACCTCCTGGTACTGGAAAAACACTCATAGGTAACTGTAATAATCATATCTTGTATAAATAATCAATATTTGTACAGACAAATACCTTGAGATAATAAACTAGTGGTGTATGGCGTCGTGCCTTAAGGCAAATTGCTGGAACTTACCATTTTTTTTTTTTTAAATTAAAATTATTAAAAAATTAGATTTTCGAGAAATTTTGAATTATTGTAGAAAAAAATTGACATTTTTGGAAAAAGACTTGCCGTACCAAAAATTAACTTTTTTAAAAAGATTAAAATTATTAAAAAATTAGATTTTTAAGAAATTTTGAATTTTTGTAGAAAAAAATTGACATTTTTGGAAAAAAGTACAAAAATTAATTTTTTTTAAAAAGATTAAAATTATTAAAAAATTAGATCTTTGAGAAATTTTGAATTTTTGTAGAAATACATTGACATTTTTGAAAAAATAAGGCTTACCGTACCAAAAATTATTTTTTTTTTAAAAAGATTAAAATTATTTAAAAAATCGATTCTTGAGAAATTTTGAATTTTTGTAGAAATATTGACATTTTTGGAAAAAAAGACTTACCGTACCAAAAATTAATTTTTTTAAAAAGATTAAAATTATTAAAAAATTAGATTTTTGAATTTTTGTAGAAAAAATTGACATTTTTGAAAAAAAAAGACTTACCGTACCAAAAATTAATTTTTTTAAAAAGATTAAAATTATTAAAAAATTAGATTTTTGAGAAATTTTGAATTTTTGTAGAAAAAAATTGACATTTTTGTAAAAAAAGGCTTACCGTACAAAAATTTTTTTTTTTTTTTTAAAGATTTATATTATTAAAAAATTAGATTTTTGAGAAATTTTGAATTTTTGAAATTGACATTTTTAGTGAAAAAAAGACTTTGAAAAAAATGTTTTCTTTATTTTGGATATTTTAAACTTTTTTCCAAGGCAATCGCACTGGTATAGCTGTGATCATCCGATTTGTATGATCCAAAAAACATTCAGTTCGTAATGACGGGGAAAAGTGGTTATTAGTTTTTGGCAAAAGTAGGCCCAGCGGTTTCGGAGATACAGAGCTAAATGTTTAAAAAAATGGCAGCTTTTGAGAGAACTAAGCGTCCGATTTAAATGATTCAAAGAACTTTCTGCTTGTCTTAACAAAATAATTGATTTTGGAAAAAAAAATTGTTGCTAATTTTTTTTTCCAAAAAATATATTTGTAATTTTGGATTAAAAATTCAAAAAATTACATGGGCTAAGCACAATCTAAGCGCCACTCTGGTACAAATGTTTATCCAAGTGCGTTTAGACTGTTTATGTACTGGAGCAATGTCCTGTACAATTTTGTGAAAAACTATTGAAAAATGTGAAAATGCCGCCAAGCTAAGCACAGTATAAGTGAAAATGTCGCACAGAATTATTTGCAAATGCGTTTAGACTGTGACTATGCGGGAGCACTTTTTCAATTTTGTGCAAATTAGGCAACTATTTTTTTTGAAATGAAATGACGATTGATTGTTAATGTCCTGGAGATAATTTGAGTTATGATTTATGATTTACATTTGATTTGCTCAGATACAACAAGATAGCAAAAATAATGAAAGTTACAGTATTTGTATGATATATTTGAAAACGTTTAAAATTTCTCGAATTTTTAATTACGGTACGAGAAGTTCCAGCAATTTGCCTTAAGGCACGATGCCATACACCACTGGTTTATTTTTGGATTGATATGAGTTTTTTATACCAAAAGGTTTGACAAAGATTGTCAAACGGATTCAAATTTCAATCAGGCACGTGGGCCGTCGCAACGCGAGGCTGGGTATGCTAGTATATATATATATATATATATATATATATATATATATGTATAATTCTTTACTTTCTATTTAGGAAAGTGCATAGCCAGTCAATCAGGATCAACTTTCTTCAGTATAAGTGCCTCCAGCTTGACCTCCAAATGGGTAGGAGATGGTGAGAAAATGGTCCGAGCATTATTCGCAGTTGCAAATGTACATCAACCAGCTGTAAGTACTAAGATCTTTTATAATTTTCAATTTTTCATAATAAATCAAATTATTACAACTAGTTCATGTACTATTTCACCTTTAGGTAGTTTTCATAGACGAAATAGATTCCCTCCTATCCCAGCGCTCCGACACAGAGCACGAGAGCTCCCGCAGAATCAAAACCGAATTCCTGGTTCAGTTAGACGGCGCAGGGACTGGTGAAAGTGATAGGATATTAGTCATAGGTGCCACTAATAGGCCCCAAGAACTAGACGAAGCTGCTAGACGAAGATTGGTTAAACGGCTTTATATTCCTTTACCAGATAAACCAGTAAGGCACCAATTAACATATATTATAAAAAAAATATTGTATCCCATTGTTTCCTTCTAATAAGGCAAGAAATCAAATGGTCAGTCGCCTCATGCAATCAGAAAATCATTCTTTGACTGATGAAGAAATTAACAGCATATCTGATCTAACTGACGGTTACTCTGGTTCGGATATGAAGAATCTTTGCCAGGAAGCTGCTCTCGGTCCAATAAGATCTTTAGATTTTCGAGCTATTCAGAATATCAAGACGAATGAGGTGAGCAAAGAAAATCTTTGAGACAAACAAATAAGAGTTAGTGAACCATGAGTATTCTCATTACCATAAAAAATAAAACATTTGACCAAGAATACCTATTAAACTTATAATAGCCATTTATTATGTTCTAAGGACAACCATGTGCTTACGAAAATGTACAATTAATGTTTCACTGAAACTTTCATAATGCTAATACTGTATGCAACTTGCCTTGAGCAAAATGCCACTTACACTTAGTTTTCTTTACAGGTTCGTCCAATAACATTCCAAGATTTTGAGACAGCTTTGAAACGAGTTCGAGCTAGTGTATCAGACATGGACTTAGACCAATACGTGAAGTGGAATAATTTATACGGTTCTGGATAAATAATTCTGTCTGAAATCATAAACACCAAACAAAATGTTACATAATACAATTTATAAATAAAAATAGTTGTTTATTAAATAATTTATTATTTCATTTTTGATATGCACATGTTCAATCGTAATCTTATAATAATAAATGATTTCAAAGGAATGGGATAAAGTTGCATAAAATACTATGTATATCACGAGATCTAATACTAAAATATTTGTTTAAAGGGTTCTGCACCCGTAATTAAATCCTATTATTATTTTATAATACCAGCAAGATACAAATATAAGGCTTAACTTAATATAAGCTCTCTTATTAAAAACTACAGTTGCTCCCTTTGTTTCGTTTATATTTAATTTTATATAGATAAGTCTCAAAGGCCTTTGGAGGACAGAATTGACAAACTTGCTTTCAACCCTTCGCAGTAGGGATCAGGATTAGGTAAGCAAAACTTAGCGCCAGGGTCCCATATGATCCAGGGAGGGTTCGAGATTAGGTAAGCAAAACTTAGCGCCAGGGTCCCGATCTCACCTTCCCCATTCACACAACTTAGATTGCGGAATAATTATTCAACGCAACAAAGAATGCGGAATGTTTAAGGGACAACATTGAAGAATTGAAAACTTGCTTGGCAATACTGTTTATAGAAGGAAATTGAATTTTGAAATTGAATGAGAAGTTAATGAATATTACATTTGAAATTGAAATTAAATAAAAAGATAAAAATAAATACAAATATAAAGTTATTTAGCGCATGTAGGAAAGAACACTACTAAGATCTGAAAACCCCTACAGGTGCACTCTTGAGTGCCTTACTTAATTTTTTGGAAATGTTTGTTTGCTATGTATGTTGTATATTGCATATTGCATGACCATTGTTATATTTCAGTTATATACTAGCTATTATCCCCAAGACCTGAAAATCCCTACAGGTGCACTCGAGAGTGCCTTACTAAATTTTTTTGGAAATGTTTGTTTCGTATGTATGTTGTATATTGCATATTGCATGGCCATTGTTATATTTATTTCAGTTAAATACTACGTATTATCCCCAAGACCTGAAAATTCCTACAGGTGCACTCGAGAGTGCTTGGCGTATTTATTTTTGTATACGCCCTTTTTGTAATGCATTTTGTGTATTTCATGGTCATTATTGTTATATTTCAGAGTTCTATACTTATATACTAAGACCTGAAAATCCCTACAGGTGCACTCTAGAGTGCCTTACTTGATTATTTTTGTATATGCTTATTTTGTATGTATATTGTATATTGCATTATATTTCATATGTACTTATATACTAGGTCTTATCCCTAACACCAGCAAATCCGTACATTTCTCTCGACTACTTAATTATTTTGATATATGCTTATTTTGTATTTAGTTGTTTTCTGTATCGCATGGTCACTCATATATTTTGGTTATATACTTATATACTAGGTCTTATCCCTAACACCTGCAAATCCGTACATTTCACTCGACAAATTAATTATTTTGATATATGCTTATTTTGTATTTAGTTGTTTTCTATATCGCATGGTCATTATCATATTTCACAAATGACTTATAAATAATATATCGATAAGATATAATAAAAAAAAAATCCTACCTTTTCAGCATCTTCATTCACTTATCTTTTGTATTATAAGGAGAATTCTTGGACTGCTTTTTTATCCAAGCTGGAGTATTCAGGCTTGTAGTAATATGACGATAATATGACCTGAAAATAATATTCAAGGTTAGAGTTTATTGAAAATTTATATATATATATATATATATATATATTTGTATATTTGTTTTGTATATTGCATGGCCATTATTATATTTCAGTTATATACTAATAAACTAAGACCTGAATATCCGTACATTTGCATTCGAGAGTGCCTCACTTTATTATTTTTGTGTATGCTTATTTTGTTAGTTTATATAGTTATATTGCATATTGCATATTTATTATTATTATATTTCAGTTCTATACTTATATACTAGGTATAGTTATGTTAAGATTATATATATAGTATATACTTATATACTATGTATAGTTATGTCTATACTTATATACTAGGTATTAGTTCAGTTAAGACCTAAATATTAATGCATTTGTACTTACTTAATTACTTTCGTATACGCTTGTTTGGTATGCATTTTGTACATTTCATTATTATAATATTTCCGTTCAATACTTATACACTAGATGCTATCCCTAAGACCTGAATATCCGTACATTTGCACTCAGGCGTGCTTTACTTAATTATACGCTTATATTTTGTACGCATTTTGTATATTGCATGTTCATTATTATCATATTTCAGCTCAGTATACTTAATTACTAGATGCTATCCCTAAGACCTGAATATCAGTACATTTGCACTCAGGCGTGCTTTACTTAATTATACGCTTATATTTTGTACGCATTTTGTATATTGCATGTTCATTATTATCATATTTCAGTTCAGTATACTTAATTACTAGATGTTATCTCTAAGACCTGAATATCCGTACATTTGCATTCGAGAGTGTCTCACTTTATTATTTTTGTGTATGCTTATTTTGTTAGTTTATATAGTTATATTGCATATTGCATATTGCATATTGCATATTTATTATTATTATATTTCAGTTCTATACTTATATACTAAGACCTGAAAATCCCTACAGGTGCACTCGAGAGTGCCATTTTGTATATTGCATGGCCATTATCATTATAATTATACATGTATATGCGTATCCTGTATGTATATTGTATTTTGCATGGCCATTATTATTATATTTCAGAGTTCTATACTTATATACTAAGACCTGAAAATCCCTACAGGTGCACTCGAGAGTGCCATTTTGTATATTGCATGGCCATTATCATTATAAGTAATAAAATAGCTAATAATTAATTAAATTATATTAAACCTATAAAATATTGACTTAAGCCTTATTATAATATTAAATATTATACCGACGGCTTGTAGAATTAATAAATAAATAAATAAATAAATATAATTATACATGTATATGCGTATCTTGTATGTATATTGTATTTTGCATGGCCATTATTATTATATTTCAGAGTTCTATACTTATATACTAAGACCTGAAAATCCCTACAGGTGCACTCGAGAGTGCCATTTTGTATATTGCATGGCCATTATCATTATATTTCAGAGTTCTATACTTATATACTAAGACCTGAAAATCCCTACAGGTGCACTCGAGAGTGCCATTTTGTATATTGCATGGCCATTATCATTATAATTATACATGTATATGCGTATCTTGTATGTATATTGTATTTTGCATGGTCATTATTATTATATTTCAGAGTTCTATACTTATATACTAAGACCTGAAAATCCCTACAGGTGCACTCGAGAGTGCCATTTTGTATATTGCATGGCCATTATCATTATAATTATACATGTATATGCGTATCTTGTATGTATATTGTATTTTGCATGGCCATTATTATTATATTTCAGAGTTCTATACTTATATACTAAGACCTGAAAATCCCTACAGGTGCACTCTAGAGTGCCTTGAAAATGAAAAATTAAAATTAAAAATTGAAAATTGAATATTGAAATTTGAACTTCATTCACTATTCACCATTTGCTATTTATTACTCATGATTGAAAAGGACAGAATTGACAAACTTGCTTTCAACCCTTCGCAGTAGGGATCAGGATTAGGTAAGCAAAACTTAGCGCCAGGGTCCCATATGATCCAGGGAGGGTTCGAGATTAGGTAAGCAAAACTTAGCGCCAGGGTCCCGATCTCACCTTCCCCATTCACACAACTTAGATTGCGGAATAATTATTCAACGCAACAAAGAATGCGGAATGTTTAAGGGACAACATTGAAGAATTGAAAACTTGCTTGGCAATACTGTTTATAGAAGGAAATTGAATTTTGAAATTGAATGAGAAGTTAATGAATATTACTTTTGAAATTGAAATTAAATAAAAAGATAAAAATAAATACAAATATAAAGTTATTTAGCGCATGTAGGAAAGAACACTACTAAGATCTGAAAACCCCTACAGGTGCACTCTTGAGTGCCTTACTTAATTTTTTGGAAATGTTTGTTTGCTATGTATGTTGTATATTGCATATTGCATGACCATTGTTATATTTCAGTTATATACTAGCTATTATCCCCAAGACCTGAAAATCCCTACAGGTGCACTCGAGAGTGCCTTACTAAATTTTTTTGGAAATGTTTGTTTCGTATGTATGTTGTATATTGCATATTGCATGGCCATTGTTATATTTCAGTTATATACTAGCTATTATCCCCAAGACCTGAAAATCCCTACAGGTGCACTCGAGAGTGCTTGGCGTATTTATTTTTGTATACGCCCTTTTTGTAATGCATTTTGTGTATTTCATGGTCATTATTGTTATATTTCAGAGTTCTATACTTATATACTAAGACTTGAAAATCCCTACAGATGCACTCTTAGAGTGCCTTACTTGATTATTTTTGTATATGCTTATTTTGTATGTATATTGTATATTGCATTATATTTCATATGTACTTATATACTAGGTCTTATCCCTAACACCAGCAAATCCGTACATTTCTCTCGACTACTTAATTATTTTGATATATGCTTATTTTGAATTTAGTTGTTTTCTATAACGCATGGTCACTATTATATTTTGGTTATATACTTATATACTAGGTCTTATCCCTAACACCTGCAAATCCGTACATTGCACTCGACTACTTAATTATTTTGATATATGCTTATTTTGTATTTAGTTGTTTTCTATATCGCATGGTCATTATCATATTTCACGAATGACTTATAAATAATATATCGATAAGATATAATAAAAAAAAAATCCTACCTTTGCAGCATCTTCATTCACTTATCTTTTGTATTATAAGGAGAATTCTTGGACTGCTTTTTTATCCAAGCTGGAGTAAGGCTTGTAGTAATATGACGATAATATGACCTGAAAATAATATTCAAGGTTAGAGTTTATTGAAAATTTATATATATATATATATATATATATATATATATATATAT